GTCATTTATATGGACAGACCAAAAAAAAAAAAAAAAAAAATGAATACAGAAGAACATTAAGTTTGCAAAATTTGTTTGGCTTTCTTTTGTAGTTTTTCCTCTTGAAAAGCCAGCAGCACAGAAGAGGTGTGATAACTTTAAGAAACCAGCAAAACGAATCGCATTCAGATGCATGGCACTTGTGGGCACACTACTAATACTGAGAAATTAGATGGAACATCTTAAATGTATACTTCTCTTTCTAATTATATGCGGATGAAGAAGACTCATGAATTAATCACGTTTTTGGAAATTCATTAAGTATCATAGACATTGCACAAGTTCGTAATCCAGGTAAATGACTTGCATACATGATCACAATGTGACAGAACTTGCTGTTTAAGATAGTGGCACTCATTTTAGCTAGTTAAAAGCTTTCTTTTATTGCTGCAAAGGAATTTTTCTGCAGGTGCAGCTAATTTGGCTCGGTCTGTACTTCATTCTTATGAGTTACATCTGTGCACCCCTTTTTTTAACATCTTTAATACGATATATTTGATAAATATATATATAAGTAGTAAGATGTTAACAGAGCAACAAGCGAGGAAAAATATATAATTTCTAAATGAAAGGATGTTCTTCTTGTGTATTCTGAATCTTTAATCATTTTACTGCAGAAATTCATTTTAGATTTGGTTTTCTTTCATGTATTTCACAAAATATAACATTTCGTGATCAGATTTTTTAGAGTTATGAATTGGACTATTTGTTAAAAATTGGATTTGTCTAAAGGTTGGTTACTTTTGTGTTTGAATCTACTTGATATGAGATGGAAATTTATGTATTAACATTTACATTATTTATTATGTTTAGACTTCAGTTGTTGTAACCAGTTAAAAACATAATAGATAACCTTTCAATTTATTATTATAATTTGAGAAGTGCCTGGTTTGCTGTGTATTTTATACAAAAGCACCATGTCAGATTTACAGGATAACAAAGTGCAACCGTAAAAAAAGTGTAGCAGTGAAATTAAGGCTGTAATGTTTACTGGGAAATACTCCAATTCATCTGGGACCTGAAAAGTGTTTTAACTAAAAATATAAAAATTAGATGCTTGTTCTTGCACCCAGTACAATTTTCTTATTTCAGTCACTTGGCCAAACTGTTATATATGCTGCTATATGTCTTTACAATAAAAGGTTTCTGAAAAAAGGATTTGGGAGTTGATGATGTGAAGCAGTGATATTCAAATGTTTTTGACTGCATTCCCCTAGGACAAAATTGATTATAAATTTTGTACCCCCATATAATGTAATATGTGCTTTAAAAGCATGTGCATTTATGACGTTAAGCTCTCCAGATGCTAGTGAAACCAGATAGACCAACCAGTGAGAGAACCTTGCACTCACATGATATATGATTGTAACTGACAAGTGACATAAGGGCTTACAACAACAGTCACTAGCTTGCCATTAGTGAATGAGAAATTTTGAACTGGTGAGTGGGAGGTGATAACATAAAAAATACATGTTTAACACTTCCCACATTTATTTTCATGATATTTTTAACAGGCTACGTTCTGTTTGTACTTGTGCTGTGCTTTCTGTTTCCAAATATAAAATAAAATTTTATATTACATGATTTAGGGTTCATCTCCATGTAAAATGGTCTGGGCTCATGGCTGAAGTTTTGCCTGTAAGATTTTCTAGGTGCATTTAGATTGTCACTTCTTAGCTTGTTGGAAACATAAAAAAGAAGCTCATTTTGTCATTAATGCTGATTAAACATTGCTGTGATGTATTTTGTGAACTTCTAAAATATTTTACCGAATACTGTAGAACCTGTGATCTTAATCATTTGTTGAAATTATGGGTGTTTATTTTACTGCATGAAATCAGTGTTGAAATGTATATGTGCAGGGTATTTTCAGCATGGTTGTTGTGAATATTGTACCACACGGTACTTCACTGATGGAATTGTGATAAACATGTTTGCTAGTGGATTCATGCAAATTCCCCCCTTCCCAATGATCATGGCCTCAAATCAAAAAGGTCTCTTGCTGTTTGTCAAGAAAACAGATTTGTCACATTAGACTTCTGTGCAATGTGGTCATGAACATTCTGAATAGCCTGTGCTGAGTGCACGAAATGAACAGCCTGAAGGAAGTGATACTAGTATTGATTGCGTGGTGCTATAAAGGGCAAAAGCAAGAGGCAACTCGAAAGACAAGTGGTGTGATGAATTTCAGTGGTTATTATATGAAAATGGTGCAGAGTGTGTGCAAAGTATTTGTAAATAGCAGATAAATACTCGCACGTTCTGCAAGGTTTCAATATGCTATTCAGATCAGGAACATTCAACTTACACAATCAATCACAAATTTATAAAGGTTGCTTGTTCAAAGGTATAATTGTAGAATATCCAGAGTCAACACCATTAGCAGTGTGCCAAACAAAAAAAAAAAAAAAAAAAGAAAAAAGAAAAGAAAGACTATTTCAGCACTTAAGAAAAGCTATTTAGCACAGCTTATTACATTGCAAGGCACAATAAAGCATTTTCTAATTTTAAAGATTTAAGCTACTTAATAAATTTGAAGTAGGCATTGCTCTCAGTGAATATCAAAATGGCAGACATTGCAGGGGTTTATTTCTTATATTGCAGCTATTTTCTGTAAGGAGGTTATTGCAAAAATTTTAGATTGTAGTTATGCTTGGATTCTTTTCGATGTATTAACTGATAAATGTACAGAGAAAAACTAATAACATATGTTAGGTATTATAAGAGTTGTTCCTTTCGACTGTACCTAGAGACTCTTCTTCGTTAAGTTATTGTGAAAAGGTCATGATTTCCAAAAGCTAGGAATCAATTGGCTGGTCAGAAACTGGAAAGTAGGTCTTCGAACAGATGGGGCTGCAAACATAATTGGAAGAGAAAATGTACTATCTGTCATGTTGAAAAAAGGACATAAAGGAGCTTGTAACACAACACTGTATCCCACCCAAGTGAAATTTAAGTGTGTTGCACTCAGTAAAAGACACAAAATATAGTGATGAACTGGATGGTGATTTTAAGAAAATGTGTAAATTTTATATTAATTCTCCAAAAAGCCTAAGGCAACTAGGCTAAGCTGTTAAGCTGCGGTATGAGGTTTGTTGAAACAAATGCAAAACTTTCAGTTTGTCTTAACTTCCAAAAGATTTCTTGCTAGATTTTTTTTCCATATTCAAGAAACTTTATCTGATTTTTGAAGCATAGATCATAATTTAAGCAGATAGAGGATCATGTGAATAGGGCAATCTGAGAATCTAAACCAAGCATATATGAACAATAACTTTTCAATTCAACTACTATTAGTGAGAAGTTTAGGAACATTCAGCTTACAAATATTGATTTTTTATTCAGGCGATTCTCAGATTTTTTATTCAGGCGAACAGAAAATAATTTCACTTAAGAAAACTTTTTTGTGATGAGATGTAGATGTTATAAAAGCAGGTGCTGTCTTTGATACTTTCATGCGGCCTCATGACAATTTGAAAAGTTATGGAAAGGATGAAAATGTGACTTTCACCTTGAAGCATATCTATCATTTTAAACCCAGTCTTCTAAAGAGCTAACCTTGAAATCTTTACGGGTAATGGTATGAGTATGTCCAAGTTTTAGGGCAGGATGCAAAAATACATGAATGGTTTTCTAAATTAAATTTACATAAAGAAAGATTTCCTCTTTGCCAGTTATTGTCAATAGTCACAATTTTGCCATCTTCCCCAGCGTTTTGTGAACGAGGTTTTAGCTAAGTGAATCTCATTAAGACTGATATCAGAACATGTATAGATAACATGATACGTAATGACCTGATGATGATTAACTGAATGAACCTTTACTAATAGACTTTCAGCCGCAAAGAGGCAAAGCATCAAGATGCATTAGCAGTGCAACCAGAGAGTGTCTGAAGCATAAGATGGATGAAGATGATGCAGCTGAGAGACCATGTAAAAAATTAATGGCACTGAAATTACTGGTACTAAGTTTTCATTATTTTAAGTTTATGGCAACAAGTTTTTTTGGGGGGGTTACTGGATTTTTGGCATTATTTTGAGCTCTACCCTTAGGTATCATTTTGTGTACTCCACTTTAGAAATCACTGCTGTACAGAACTAAAGAAGTAAGGAAACATTGTGAAATTCCAAAACATATAACCTGAAGTCGATGAATTTGTTTTGTGCTGCTGTTAAAGATATTAAATCTTAAAAGAATTCCTTTTAAAAACTTTTCATAAGTACAGAATTGTGATTAGAGATTATGGAATTGAGTAAGGGTATAATGCCATCAGATTTTAAATTAAGAGACGATAAACTGTTTAAATGCAGCAGAAGCAATGGTGATTGCTGTTGTAGGAGATGGTAGAAATGACAAGGAATAAAATTAGAACTGATTGGCCAGGTTTTAATAATAAATGAACTAAAAATGCTTAAATGTTGATCCTGATGATAATTAACAGTTTTTTTTTTTTTTTTTTTTTTTTTTTTTTAATGGCCGAGTTAGTTCAGCATTTGATGGACTAGGACAATCATCTTCATAGTAAATTTGTCTGAGACAATTAGAATTTTCTGTAAGTTGCATATCTTATGAGTACTTGCTTAAATTATTGCTTTTATCTACATACAATAAGCATTTGTTTTGCAGTAGGGTGATCCAAATTATGAAAATTAACTTGTTTTAGATTTTCTTGGTTTTTAAGATCCTTTGTTATTTTTAGGTTATTTTGTTTGTTTTGCAGTGATGATCTACGGTTAACCCACATTCATGAAGCTATAGTGCAAATTCTTTTCATTCTTTCTTTGTTCAAATCTTTGGAGATATCTGTAACTTGACTTTGCATTTATTTCTATTTGTTTTATTACATATTAATTCACTGCTATAATGGAAAAGTATCGTCTTATAGCTACCATTTCATTTCTCATTATTTTTTCCTCAATTGTTTTATATCACTTAAATACAATTTTTCCTATTAATTACAGGTTGGCAGTATACAATAATTTCTCAAGCAGCTGATTCACGTACATCTGTGGGCCTTGCTAGGATGCCTAAAGTTAATACATCCTTCTTCCTTTCACCTTCCTTCAGGGATTTAGAGGAGGTTGGTTGTGCTTAATATATACTGTATTTCATAAGAATTGCAGAAACTTTTTATACTAAAAGAAAAACTGATTTGCCTTAAATTTAGTGTGATCTTTATGAATAACCTCATGGCTAATAATACAGAATTTTAATAAGCAAGCTAAAATAGTCTCACTCCTTAGGCTGTAGTCTTGTAGCACTATCTCATTAGGATTATAGTTGGAGGTGACATCATTCTGTATCTGTGACTTAGGTAACCTAGACCTGCGTTTGTGACAGGTATTGGTCGCCATGTAGGTTCAATGGTTCAATCACAGTATGCTGTTTAGAAACCAAAGATTATGTCACAGATTTGAAAACACACTTTTGATTCTGGAAGCAATATATTGATCTCTTTCTGAGTGAGAGTACTAAGATAAGTGAGTCTGTCATGCAGGTACTACATGTTAATTACCATCAGATCTGGCAAGAGCATGCAATTCCACATGGGTGGAGAAATTAGTGTCATGCACACTAGTGTTTCCTGATACACTGCACAGTGCCACAGAGGATCATCTAGGCATGTCTAGATAACAAGGCTGCAGCCAAATTGTGCAGTAATAATCAAATCAGCAATGAAGGCTCAAATCTGTGTGAACAACATATATTTAACCGTAAGTCATATTTTGCTGTATCATATTTCAGAATGAATGCTGACAAAGCATTGTGTGGTGAATCCATCCAACTAGCCAGTATTTACACAGAGAAAGATATTAATGTATTGGCTGCAGAACCTGAAGTGCATTAACTATAGTTTGACCCTATAGTCTCACCATGAGACCACAGTTTGGTTCATGAATTAAGCCAGCCTATTCAAGTTTTGTGTGTTTGCTATAATTAGGTAATCCTACATGTGTTATTAAATTAACTTTTTATCAAGGAAAGAAAATATTGTCTTTTATTCATGCACTGCGAGCTGAAGAAAATAATTTGCAGCATGTAGAAAGTTTAATACAGTTTTGGAGAAAGGAGATGTTTTATGCAGATGATTACAAAATCATAAATTGTATGCAGTTTTACAAGCTTTGTTGAAGACTAGCAAAATAAAGTAAATATATTAATAAATATTAATGAATTTGGCAAACTTCATTTTGCCAAATTCAGTGGTGCATTTTGAATGCATTACAATTGCTATCTTGTCATGTCTCACATGTATTAATAATTGGGTGATTGAATAGGCAAAATAACATAGAGAACAAAGCAACCCTTTCTGCTGTGCATAAATAATTTGGTTATATTTCGATGTGGGTTTCTCTTTCTTCCTAGCCTGTATAGTGATTACTGATGCTGACTGCCATACTGGGTTCGAATCTGTGAGAAGTTTGTTTTGGTTTATGTGATTTTGGCAAAGCCTTGATGGCTATCTGCATAAGGGGAGATGCATTTGTGGAGGGCTTTCTAAGGGAAACTGGTTCATATACACATTGGGAAAACCATGAAAACACCCATGCAGCAAGCCTGTTCATGTGATTCAAACCTTGAACCAAACTACCAGTGTTCAGTGACTTTACTGCTTGGCCGCTGGTGTGCCTCAATTCTGGGAGAAGGCATGGGTGTTTAAGTGTATAGTGTCTGTACAGCAAAGAGCACTCAAAATACACAGTGAGCCAAAAGGCCTCTTAAGAGATTGGTGGTAAAGAAAGAGGGATGGGACACCCTCGAACTGCCTCCGGCGTTCTCCCTCAAAATTGGAACTTCAAAGATGGCAAGACTATACCTGTATGGCCAAATGGTGAAATTCTGGTGTTCCACTCACTTATACCTGTATGTTTCACATTTATAAACAAATAGTAGAGAGTTTGGCTGTGAAATTTGTGATGCGTAGATTTAAAAATATGTTGATGATATTGGTTCTTCATAAGAGCTTAATGTCATAGCAGATATTCATATCGAATGAGAGGTTGATACTACATATAAATTGTGAGCATTTCTTTCTTGAATCTGGCTTTATACCTGTAGTCTGTCATTAGCAGAGGAATCATGATTATACACCACCAGTAGGCACACAGGAAGTGCAAACAACCTTAGATTAAGAAAACTAAATTAGAAACAGGCTTGAATATGCTCACGAAAGACAGCTGAACACTAGTAGTCCAGCCCAGGTGTTCAAATACTGGTGAAATGGCTTGCTGCATGAGCATTTTTGTAGTTTTCTCCACGTGTAACGAAACAGTTTCCTTTAAAAAACGCTCCATGGAGACATGCCTTCCTTTAGGTGCTTTGTCATTAAAGAGTAAATAAGCAATGAACTCAAGTACATGGGTAAGACTGCTAAACTTTGTGAAATAGGAATAAGTAGGTTGAACTTTTTCTTGTTAATTTAGTTTTTAACTTGTGTTACAATAACTTTTCTTCTGTTTACACTAGAACTTTCTAAAAATTCCTATCTATTTTAATTCTTCTTTCTTAAACTAGTTTCTGATGCACACTCAGGTAATTCAAACAATCATCTGTCACTGTTGAGTGCATCAAATTTTTACTTTGTGCAGGGTACTAAATGAGTTCTCATTAGTAATCACTGTCCAAGGCTGAGAAGAAGAGCATGTTTTGTTTGTGGAAAAAAAAAAAAAAAAAAAAAAAAAAAAAGAGTCATTGCCTTTTTTACCAAGGTCTTCCAATATCCACTTCTTCATGTTACTGATCTTTGCTTTCTTTTTTTGAAAAATCGTGCTAGAATTCTGTCTCACTTCCAAAATCATAAAAGTCATGAAACCACTGCACTTTTTTACTAAATTCTTTGTCTGGTATCTCTTAACAAAACCACAGGTTACAATGACAGTAACAAAAGGCATGATAAATCATCATCACTTGAAAATCTGACTTCCTCCCAATGACAATAAAAAATCCAGATAAGGAGTCAGAGAATTTTTTTTTAAATTCATCAACTGTAGGTGTTGAAGGATTTTGAATAATGTTGTTTGCACTCTTACATCCCCTTTGTACTTGCAGTTATATGCCAGTGTTTTGAACTAAAGTACTGATGAATGACAAAACAGCATGATGGGGTTTTTAAATATAAAAGTGCATGAGCCCTACTGAATGCCACAAAAATAAACTACTGCTACAAAAATAAATAAAATAATTAATTAAAATGCAAAGAGTAAAAAGATGAATAAATTAAGATTAAATAGTTAAATAATATATTAAAATACTCAATATCTTATTTTGGTCTACAGCTGGAATAACAATTTTTTTCAGAAACTGGGAAGTACCAGATCTGGGTTGCATTGCTTAAAAATGTTCTTTTGATGAGTATATTATTAATGTATTATAGCTTATTTAGATTTCTTGACTGCAAAATGTTAGCCACTGGTAATATAAGCATGATACAAGTAACATTTATATTATACCCATGGTTGAAGAATTCAAAGCGCAAAAAGCCGATGTTACATATAAATAAAAGTCTTCCAATGGCTGCTGAAATTTAATTGGCTGGTGATTATTGCACCAATATTAAGAAATTTTAATGAACAACAAATGAATTTTTTACTTTAGGAAAACTTAAATTAATTTGAAATATTTGTGTTGCTGAATTTAATGTATAAGAAGGGGAAGGAGGAAAATATTAAATTCCCACATTTAATTTTCCTCTTTTAGTTGTTGTAATCATTATGTTTTGAAAGGAAAGAGAAGTGCTGGAGTTCTTTATAACTTTAATAAAACACTGAAAATTGATATAAAGTATTAGACCTAGTCCTAAATCCACCAGTGGCGCTGAGTGGTAAAGTCACCAACCACTGGTAGTTCAGTCCAAGGTTCAAATCCCAGGAACTGGCTGCATGCATCTGCATTTTTATGGTTCTCCGCATGTGTAATGTGTATTATGAGTCAGTTTCCCTTAGAAAATCCTCCACAAAGACATCCATCCCCTTAGGCAGATAGCCCTCAAGGCTTTGCCGTAATCTCATGAGCCAAACCAAAACCTAGTCTTAACGTACTAGTTGTGATCATAATATTGTGGTTATTGATTTGAATTACTAATCATATATTGCAGGCTCGGCATTTGAATCATAATTGGATTTTGTAGACACAACATGGTAACTAGCTAACAACATGCTTAGATGATGCTCTTGCTTTTCTCAGTGTTACTTATCTGGATTTGAATACCATGTAAGCAAGGATATTCATGACTACAATTACAAGCATTTAGTCACAAATGTTCCTATGCAGTCACTAGTGTTAGTGTCTTTGCCTCATGTCGTATCTGAAATTTGTTGAGTCAAAAGTCCTGTTGAGAATTTTGTGTTAGATCTGAGAAATATGAGGTTCTGCAGATTCCATTATGCTGGGCTCTGATCAAAATTGGGGTAAAGCATAGGCATGCAACTCTTGTGTGCTTTACATAAACTAAATAATTTAATCCAATCCAATGTCTATCACTTCTCAGTACTATTATCTATACCTATGTGGAGACATATTTCACATTTTCTGCAAAGTGGATAATTGAGATGATATTTGAAAAAGCCTCATCACATTTTATTGTTTGCATATTCGTTAGGTGTTTTCCTCTTATGAGTGGCTGGAATGCAAATTTGTGCAATTACAAAGCACTGTTTTTCATCGCAGTTTCTAGTTTACCATTTTTTACGTTTATATATTTTTAGGATGATTTCAGGGCTGTTTACTTAATATGTAAAATGTAAAGAGTATTTTTTAAAATATTTGATCTGATAGCCTTTTTCTTTACTATAAATCTGCATCGTGATTTCTATAATAGAAGGGCTTTTCATAAAATTTTCAGGGGTATTAATCTCCATTCTTCTTCCACTACTTTCTAGAGTCTATCAGTCATGCTGGGTTTGCATTTAGGAAGTCTTTTCAAGAGGCCAGAGGCACAGTAAGTGCATAGGCAAAATATGTTAGGGGACTTTGCTGGAATAGGTTGAAAAGATTTTTATACAATATCTGTATCAATCTTCATTTTTTTTTTCGAAGAATATAATGGTACTTTTCAAAGTATGACCTGTTGCTTTGTGTTGA